CAAAGTAACAATAGCTGTTGAGTACCTGCTAGATGCTGGGCACTCTATCATGGGCTCTATGGAAGTATCTTGTCAAATCTTCACAGCAGCCCTTTGAGATAAAGAAGTCAAGATCAGTGACATCGTGAAATGTGCCCAAGGTCACACAGTGAGTGTGAGGCTGGGATCTGAGCCCAGGTCCATGGGGCTCCTAGACACATACTGTTACCCACAGCATCAGGTTGAAGTGAGTTAGGGATGAAGTGGTGCCCGAGTCAGGAAGCTGGGGGACACAGTCCTCAACCCGGGGGAGAAGTTGGGGCTGAGTCTGCTGCATACATTGCAAGAATCCCAGGTCTCTGTCCCAGGAGCGAAATGGCTGCCTCTGTGAGAAGTGAGGACTCAAGGTGCATGTGAGGACTCAAGGTGCATGTGTACAACAGATGTATCGCAAGAGTACACACACACACACACACACACACACACACCACATGTACACACTGCATACACACAAATAGTAAAATGGCACAATGCATCTGAGTCCAGGAAATCATAGCCAGGGGAGTCTGGGAGACAGGGTGGAGGGGGGTTGCTGGTAAGTAAGCACAAGATTTAAACAAGTAACCTGGAGGGCCTACAGGGTGGGTTGCTCAGCCCCCTCTGAAAGCTCTCCCAAGAACGCCGTGGCAGTCCCCAGTTCCTTCAGAACGCCAGCGTGTTCCAAAAGTGGATCTGTAATTTGGTTGTTAGGAGCTAGGAACAAATTTTAGAAAGATAGCCTCTTAGATGATAGATCGGATGCCAACCCTGCCCTCTGCTCTAATCTTTATTAGGCTGTGCCATCTCCACTGTGGAAAGTTGGCTTTAGAGCAAAACCAAGCTCTGTGTGTGTGTGTGTGTGTGTGTGTGTGTGGCATTTCCATGGAAACAAGCATTTAGCAATTACCCAATTAGCCTGGGACACCTGGACCACAGTCTCCCTGAACTGGAGCCCCAGAAGTAGAATGGATCTTATCTCCCACCTTGTGTACGTGCCCTTTGCCCTGCCCCGTGCCTGGTTAAGAGCAGTGTAGCATTCAGCTAGTTGCGCCAGGATGGTCTATTTACCTACCAGTCTCCATCCATGGATGGAGCTCCCAAAACACAGGTTTGTGTGTTGCATGTTCCCAGAACAGGGAAGGGGCCTGATTCATGAATGAGGAATGAAGGAATGTAGGAAGGCCCCCAGGGCTAAGCTCTGGGAATTTCTCAAGACCTGGCCCAGTTATATGCAGAGGATGGGCGGATAGGAAGGAACTGGCACCTGGCACCACCTGCTTTCTAACCTGGGGCCCATTCAGCTACTGGGTGGGAAAGGTGCCCTGAGCCCAGGGTAGGGATGATGGCTCATGAAGCAGAGTCGGGCTCATACTGTTAGTCTTGAAATAGAGCTGCCTGCTTCCACTCTGTGTCTCTGAGCTCTGAGGCTGTGGTCCTGAGATTTTCTGGTCTCCCATGAGAATTGGCACCAGGATTGGGTTGGGGACTGAGTCTCAAGGTGGACACAGGTAGCTTTGGTTGTGGACGGAGCTGGTTGAAGGCTCCTGGGCTGATATTCCTGGCCTGGAGGTTGATGGGGCCTGTGTGGCTTGAGGGGTCACGGGCAGGATCTTTGGAGGGTTTAGGGCAGTGATGGCGAACCTATGACACGCGTGTCAGAGGTGACACGCGAACTCATTTTTTAGGTTGATTTTTTTTTGTTAAATGGCATTTAAATATATAAAATAAATATCAAAAATATAAGTCTTTGTTTTACTATGGTTGCAAATATCAAAAAATTTCTATATGTGACACGGCACCAGAGTTAAGTTAGGGTTTTTCAAAATGCTGACACGCCGAGCTCAAAAGGTTCGCCATCACTGGTTTAGGGGAATCCAGTGTGATTGTGTCTGGAATAATGTAGGTGCTTGATAAAGTTCACTTTGTTTTATCCCTTCCACCTGGCTATGGCCAGCTCAGGACTGTGTGTTTGGGAGTTGGAATAGGGATGTGCCAGGCTGCCAGGATGGGAATGCACACGACTTTGCCCAAAGAATAGGGAGACAATCCCAAGCCACAGAAAGTTGGGATAAAGGAACAGTCCAAGGAAAGAGCCCCGGCAGGGCAGCCACCCAGGGAGTGCACCTTGGCCCAGGTTCCTGAGCCTCCATTTAATCCTGTCAATCAGAAATACCACCGTCCATCCCAGTTCCTAGCCAGGCCTTTGGGAACCTCAGCCACAGCTCTGAGTTGGGCCATTCTGCCCCTCCTGTGGTTAGTTTGTCTTCCTGCCCCATAGGATCATTCATTCACTTAACAAACATTTGTAAGCAGATCAGTCCTGGCAGGAGAGAAGGACCCAGAAAGTTCCTTAAAACTCCCAATCTGAGGGAAGGGAGGTTTCTCCCAGCTGATTGCAATTTGGGCTAAATCAGCGGTTCTCAACCTGTGGGTCGCGACCCCTTTGGCAGTCGAACGACCCTTTCACAGGGGTCGCCTAAGACCATCCTGCATATCAGATATTTACATTATGATTCATAACAGTAGCAACATTACAGTTATGAAGTAGCAACGAAAATAATTTTATGGTTGGGTCACAACATGAGGAACTGTATTTAAAGGGCCAGAAGGTTGAGAACCACTGGGCTAAATGGTCCATCTCTGGAGGCAGGAACCATTGCGCTGCTTCTGGCAGCAAAGGAAGGTGACTAAATCCATTGGGAAGTTCCATGACCACCCCTCAAAGCCTGGAGAGGAAGCTCATCCGGGGGCAGGAGCAAGGCTGTCATCTGAACCTTTGCACAAATGACAAAAAGTCACCCCTTGGGGCATATGAATTATGAGTCACCCACTTTCTCCTGCCCAGAGCTGCTCCGAGCCAGGCACAGTAAGTGGGGCAGTAGGGGCAGGGCAGGAGTGGAATGAGGGGCAAGAACCTGTCCCAAGTTTCACCCTGTCCCACAAATCAAGGGAAGGAGCTGTATTGAGGGCAGGCTTGATTTGGGGTATGAAGGACAGCAGGAGTAGAGAGGGCATTTCAGACAGAAGGAAAGTCTGTGCAGAGACCCCCACGAAGTAAAAGCTGGCGCAAGCTGTGTTGGGGGCAAAGGGACTGGGTAGAAGGCACAGAGGGCTGAGCAGCAAGAGGTGCAGCTGTCAGCGGGACCTTGCATGCCAGATCAGGGACTGTGGCCCTTCTCTTCGGGGCTTTGTCAGAAAGAGGGTGACCCAATTGGATCTAAGATTGGGCTCTGGGAGCTGATGGAGGATGGGGGAGAGTGGGGTGGTGGTGACCAACAGAACTGGGGGATTGGCAGCTGGCTGGAGTGAGCAGCTGGGCACATGAACCTGCAGCTCCCATCCAGCCACACCTCCCTTATTCCTTGCAAGCCCCGGAGCTACGGCTTCCTCCCCCAGCACCTAGGAATGTGGTGCCCCTTTGGAACTTGAGATTCCTTCCATCAAAGCTAGTGGTCTGCCGGGGGTTGTTAGCTCTGACCTGGTTTTGGAGGGAGGGGGAGGCTCTGCTGAAAGCTGTTGTATGAGGAAGGCACAGAAATCTCCAGGTACTAGCCCTGTGCTCTGGGCCCCATGGCCTCTGGTCAGAGGGAACCCACTTCCTTAGACATGTAGGGCCATGAATTTGAATCCCTCACTTTGGAGTCAGAGGAAACCTGGGGTCTCCGAGGAGCCTTCTTGGAAGCCCTAGTCAGCATAGGGGTCAGTCACCCTGTGGGTCCTTAAACTTTCACGACCTGGAGAGGGGGTAGCATCTGGGCACTTAGTTTGCCTAAAAGTCTAGGCCTGCCCTTGGCCCCAGGCCCCATAACCTCCGGAGGCTGTTCCAGGCAGGCAGAGGCCAGGCCTGGAGTGAGCTGGATTCAGGGTCAGCCCTGGTTCTGCAGAGCTGACCTCAGACAAATCACCTGACATGTCTGAGCCTCAGTGTACAGCAAGCATGTCAAACTCGTGGCCCGTGGGCTGCATGCCTTGTTTATTTGGCCTGTGTTAGCCTTTGAGTGTGACATGCTTGGTGTACAGAATCTCTAAAATACAGCTCCTTGTGGGGTCTGGAGGCCTTGGAGGGCCATTCTGCTCTCTCAAGGGGCAGGCAGATGGGGGCCGGAGTGGGGCTGGCCCACGCGTGCCCAAGACTGGCCAAAGCATGTGACTCAGGTCCCAAGACCTGGGATCCAGCTGCTTCTGGTAAAGTCTGGCCGTTAGGGAAGCCCCGGGTTGCCCCTCACCCCCAGGCTGGAGCCTAGGGAGGCCCGGGCTAGGCTGCCCCGCCCAGTGCTCATTAAGGCGAATTCCCGCCTTGGGAGGTGCGGGCTTCCTGGAGCAGAGCTGGCACCCGGGAGCAAGGCTGGGAGCACGCACTTTGGGGATCACACTCCTAGACCCGCCGGGCACGGGTGCGGCCCAGACGGGTCTCCCAGAGGCAGGGCCTCGGCGGGCGGCCACCGGGCTTCCCTGACTGCCCTCCCCGAGGGCCCGGGAGGAAATGACAGCTAGGGAGCCGGGGCGGGCGCGAAGGGCGGGGCGGCGCCCAGAGTGACAAGGCCTGTCAAGGAGGAGGCCGCCGCACAGAACCTCCCAGCTCCGGCCAGAGTCGGGGATTCCCCAGACACAGACCCTCCCCAGCAGCCGCCCGCCGTGCCCCGGCCCATCGTGACCTCGCGACGCGGCGACCCTAGCGTGGCCGGCGGCGACCGGGAGGGCTGAGGCCGAGCGAGAGGAGAGGCGCCCGGGGCGTGCGGGCGCGGGGTCCCCGGGCTGGGCGACAGGAAACTCTGGGGAGTGAATGGAAAGAAGTGGGTGGTCCGGCCCCTGCGACTTCCCCTGACATCACTGCCCAAATAAGGAGCTTCCAAGCGGCTGCGGGGCGGCCCGGAGCCGCACCCGCCGCCGGCGCCAGCCGCTAGCCCGCCCTGCGCCCACCCCGCACCCGCGTGGGCCGCCTGCGAGCGCTCGGGGCACCGCCGGGCGGAGCCGAGCCGGGCGGAGCCAAGCGAGGAGCGGGCGCAGCCGAGGCGCACAGAGGCCAGGCGCGCAGCCCAGCGCAGCCCAGTGGAGCGCTGCGCAGCCCAGCCCGGAGCCGCGGAGCCCGACCGCCCGCAGGTAAGCGGGGAGCCTGGCAACCGGGGAGCCAGGCACCGCCGAGCGGCTGAGCAGCCCCGGCCGGGGCGGCAGCGGAGGGACCAGCGGAGCCGGGCGGGAGGGAACTGGCTGGAGATGGGCGCGGGTGCAGGCACGTAGGTTCAGGTTCGCACTCCAGGGACCTCCGGGACTCCTCTGTAGCCTGGGGTTGCCTGCTGCACGCGCTCTCCGCCTGCGTTTCGCCAACACTACTTGTGTCACTGTCCTGGGTTGCCCCGAGCGTTCCCGGTTCACACTTCTCTTGCACACTCACGCCTGGCACAGCCCCACTCGCCATGGGTGTGTACAGCCTCCTGTGCCTGCAGCAGACCCTCACGACACACCTCTCAGGCCTCGCACGCTCAGAAACGGTGGGAGAAGCACACGGTGGGAACTGCTGAATGGGTTTGGCATCCCTGACCATGCTTCCCCCTGGAGGCAGTGGCAGTTTCAGACTGTCAAGGCCACCATCCTCGGGCTCCTTGGGCTTATTGGGAGTGAGTTACACTAGCATTGCTCTGGCTCTACAACCCCCCTCTCCCACAGAATGGCACCTGGCACTGGGGGGGGGGGGGGCGGGGGGCTGTAGGGCTGTACCTGGCTGCTGGCTGGCATGGTTGGGAGGGTGTGGCGACTGGCAGAGAGCTACTCCCAGCCTTACAGCCTGGGTGTTTCCAGAGTGGCTGCTACTCCATGGGCATTTCTCTGGGCAACCTCCCCTCCCCTTCTCTTACCCAGTACAGGGGACCTGGCTCCCAACAGGGGTGGTGGGGGCTGTAGAGCAAGTGCAGGTGTTGTCATCCTCGGCATCTTCAGGCGCTCTGTGCAGTGGCTAGAATTGCTTATATCTATAAAACACTTCATGTCTTCATTGATGATTTAATCAAGGCCACAGGAAACTGATAAAGCCAAGTTATGGGCTCATCGCTTAGTGCTCTGGGCAGTCTCCTTAATTTCTTCAGGCTGCATTTTGTCATCTGAAAATGGGGATGAGGATCTTCCGGGGAACGTTGTCAGGGAGACTTGCGATCCTATAAGTGAAACTGTTTTGTAAATACAAAGCCCTGTGCACATGCCAGTTACTGTGGTTTAGAAGCTTCTGGGCTGGTATTTTCCATGGCTCTGCTCTGTGACTTAGGGAGGCTGAACACCATTTCTGTCCAGTCATCTGCAAGAAAGGGGCCTTAATGTGTCCTGTGTGCCTGCTAGCAGATTCCCCAAAGTGAGTTCTGTGGAACATTCGTTCTGAAAGCTGTGCCTCGAGTTAAGGTTCCCTGTTCTAGTAAGTTTGGCAAATTCTGCAAGCTCACTATTGCAATCGATATTGGTAAATTAAAGGCTCTGAGAAGTACTGCAATAAAAGAACATGCTTGACTCTGTCAAACCCAACATTTCCCTGGTTAATGCTACACCCTTTTCAAGTTACACATGCTTGCTCTTCCAGGAAGCAGTGCTTCAGGGGCTACCGATGATATGGTGTTGTAGAGTTGCAATCAAACTTTGAGAGCTGTGTTGTAATTGCCTTCTTTAATGAAGAGCAAACAGAAGCCCAGAGAAGTTGAGTAGCTCACGTGACTCAAGGTCACCCATAGTTAGTAGTAAAACAGGGACCATAACCCAGCGTCATCCACTGCTCTCACCACAGTCAGTTACGTCCAGAAGTTGAGAATTCTCTTCCGGGAACCAGTGTTGCTGCTTTATGTGGACACTCTACAGAATGAATTTGACAAACATAAGAATTTACATGATTTCTTATTGAATGAATTAAATGATAAAATGATTTTGAATTGAATGAATTTAATAAGCATTTAGTGAATGAGTGAATTAATTGGATGAATTAAATGCCACTTGTTGTGGGGACTTCAGCTTGTCAAGTTCAACCAGATGTAGAATCTGTAGTGAAAAGTAATAGTACTAGAGTCATCACAGACACATACATACACAGGTAGATTCGTACATGCTCACACATCCACCTCTTCACACAAGCCCCTCTCTCCCTACACTCTCACACATGCCCACACAGTCGATCCTGTGCACTCATTCACACACATGCTCCTACATATGCACACACACTCACTCACCTGCTCCTATACACATTCACATCTCTCCTGTTCATACTCTCTCACACATCTCTCCTGTTGTGCTCTAGGCTGCAGCCAGGAGGCACTCATGACAAGGGGCATGTCCCCTATCCCCAGGTCCACAGAGCTTGTGCCTGGCACCAGCTCCGGAGATGAGTTTTGAGCATGTGAGAAACCCTTGCATTTCCTCAGTGTTTCCCCATTTCTCCCATTTGCTGCTGTCCTTATCCCCTGTCTTTCTTGGTCAGCTATTGTTTGGTCACACATGATGCTCCAGGTCTGGCTTCTACTGTTTGTTTGAATCAACCATCAGAGCTCTGTCAGGGCAAGGACTTTGTCTCATTTGTTTGATTGGAATCCCCAGTGCCTAGCAGAGTGCCTGGCACAGGGGAGGTTCAATAAGCGTTTAGTGAATGAGTGAGTGAGTGAGTGAGTGAGGATGGCTGTGACCCAGGCCAGCAACCAGGGAGATTCGCTGAAGATGTTTGTGACGTATCTGCTGGGTCCTAGGCTCCTTCCTGGGGATTCTAGAAATAAAAGCTATTTAATCCTCTGTTCATGGAGCTTGCATTCCAGTGGGAAGAGAGGGCATGAATAGCAACGAACAAGATAATGCTAGTGTCCCACGCCATGAAGAAACTCAAACAAGGCAGTGTGGACGTTAGAGACGAATGGGGAAGCTAAAGATGGGGCCCAGGGAGTCCTCTCTGAGGAGTTAATATTTATCCTGAAATCCAAATAACGAAAAAGTGCAAAGATTTGGGGAAAGAGTATTCGGGCAGAAGAACAACAGGTACGAAGGCCCCGGGGCGTGAAGGAGCTGGGCTGAGTGCACATGGAGAGGTAGACTTGTAGTTCACTGCTGATTCCCTTACCAGTGCCCTTTGGGTGAAGGGCGGGGGGCGGGGGGGAAATTGCTGCTATCTGATCTGGGACCTAATTATCTTTGCGGTTCAATCACTAAAGCCAAACTCAGTGCCTCTGGGCTTGGGGGGTGGGGCTGCCTCTGCTAACTCAGAAGGCTGCCCTCCCCATCTTGTCTTCCCCCCACCCCTCTAAACAAGGAAAGGGGTGGACTCCCCAGGCCCCTCCCAGTTCTACCACATAGAATTGGATGTTCTGATTGCAGGAGGTTCGCGACAATTCAGGTGGTCCATCTGGAGGGGTCGTGAATTAGTTGTGCTGCTTCCATTATTAATAACCATGATGTCATACATCTGTGCAGTTCCTGGTCGGCTGCAGAGCACTTTCTCCTATTATCCAGTTCACTCTGTGGACTCATCTGCCAAGTGGGGGAGGGTGGGAGCAGAGGGGGATGGTGGAGGTGGAGAGAGCTCAGACACTGCCACACGTGGCTGCAGGCTCACCCAGCTGCCTCTCCCGAATCCCTGCTTCCTCTGCCGCAAAGCAGGATTCTGGAGAACCTACCCCTGGGGGTGTGGGGTGAAGACCTGCATGTCAGGGGCCTGGCGTGTCCAGGCGCTTAGTGGCTATTGGTTCACATTTTACAGGTGAGAAACTCAGAGCTAGGGAGAGCATGGCTTTTTCTTTTCTTTTCTTTTCCTTTTTTGTTTTGGTCCACTTTTGAATCTTCAGTCTTCCCAGCCCAGGGCTTGTGGGTACATAGTAGGCCTTGAATAACTATTTTGTTGAATTGACTTGTTGTTGAATTGACTTGCCTTAAGGTTGCACAGTTAGTAAAGGGCAGATCTAGGATTCAAACCCATCCAAAGTCTTTTTCATAAACAGCAGACTATTTGGGAATAATTGTCATGGTTAATAAAGACAGATCTTCATACCACGTTTGTAGATGAACAGAATTATTGTTGCTTTGTTGAGAATCCTAGAATTATAAGGTCTTGGGTTCTGATGCATGGTATTCTTTACAAACCAATACATGAATTTCTTAAGAAACATTTTGGAACCTTCTAGAAGAGGGTGTAGATGTGAGAAAATGGCCTCCTGAGATTTGAAAGCAGTGGTTCTTAACCAAGGGCATCCTTTCCTGTCACCTGAGGGCTTTTAACAGAAGAGTTATAAGTTCCACCCCCAACTGTCTGATTCAGAGCCTCGGGGTGGCATCTGGGCATGTGGAAACACACCTGGTGCTAGAAGGTCACCTGGGGAAGAGCAGCCAGCCAGCTGGATGCCCAGGAATTCTGGCAGGCCCTCCATCTGCCTCGAGTTTTCATACATCCTTAGCTATGCTACCCACCTTGTCCCAGGCCCACCCCAGCCACACGGTAGGAACATAAGCTATGGAGCCCCACAGACCTGAGTTTGCAACTCCTGCTTTCTGGCATGTGCCTGGGCCACGTTCCTTTACCTCTCATAAGGCTCAACTTTCTTGCCTGTACTATGGGAATGCTCACGCTTACCTACAGGGTAGCTATATGGATTACAGGTAACTATATCTATGTCAGCTTATGAAATATCTGTGCCTAGCACATAGTAGGTGAACAGTAAACAACAGGTTCAGTTGTTATTATGAAAAATGAATGATAATAAAAGCAACCTCAGCATTTGTGAGTTGGCTGCTAAACATAAAAGTGAACCAGTTTACTCCAAAGGCCAGACTTTTGAGAAGAGGGAACACTCCTTGTTGTAAACACCAATCCTTGGGCCAAAGAATAACTGCTCTGCCATTTTTTCACTCCTCTTTATTACATTGCTCTGGCTCTCATGGAGAGCGAAGGGCCGAATAGGGACCAGAGCCAACACCACTTTCCATACCTCAGACAGACCCATGGGCTCTGAGAGGGGTGTGTGAGGTGTGGAGGCCAGTGCTTAGTCCAGGCTTGTGTTCACCTACATCAGCCTGGCCTCCCGTTCCTAAGACCAATGTATAGGACAGTTACAGGGGAAACAGCTGGCTGGTGGGAGTCATAGGAGGCTGTACTT